GAAGTAGAGGAATATAAAAATACCGTGATAGAGGTGCTTAGAAAGTGAAAAAGATAGTGTCATTATACCTCCCGTTTCGACAAACAATTTTTCACTCAGTAGTGCTACTTTTCCTTACGCAGCTGTATACATATTAACAACCATGCACTTGTATGGTGCGAAAAATTCACCTTTATGAACTTCGCCAACCCATTTGCCTCATCTAGCTCAGCAGAAGTAATTAAAATATACTAATAWCATTTTTGGGGTGCAACTTAATGTGTTTCACTGCTGTGTTATGTTATTTGTTATGTACTCTTCGCATATATAGTATGTATACAAGTATTTATGGCTGCTAATATGGTGTACGTAAGTAGGTGATGTCAGTGATGGCAAGCAATTATTCTTTTTGAAAAATTCGTATAAAAGTAGCTGAACACACGTATATATGTATATGAAAGACGCTCAGCTTATATAAAAAGAGATATGGGCACATAGCGCATATTTTACCATAAACATATGAACTTATGTATGTACGAATATTCGAGTATATGAAAAGCGCTATSGGTGCAATTTGTCTGCAAGCCTGTATCGCCGTCAGTCAATCACCCACATGCCTTCTACTACAACAAACCACAWACAAGAATCACCAACCAAAAGCCAAGCTTTAGTTTTGTCATCAGCAGCACACAACACAAAGGCAGCAGCTTAGGCGTTAGAAGACGGTTAATGCATATTAATTCTAATCGTCTTATGTGACACACTATACCCACAGCGCTYGTAAATAGCATTGGCATAAGAAAATTTGTGCTGTTATTGTTGTTGAAATGGTCGGCAACACCGAAATTGGTATATTTTGTGACGGCTGATTGCCATATTTCTGCTGATTGCTCATTGTTGGCGTTGTCGAATGCACACAACGGCCCAACCCAAAGCGTCCCACATCGCTTTTTAAGCAAAAAGACAGACCAACAGAGGCACAGACCCGGCCAGGCAGCAGCAGCAGTACCAGCAAAGACTTCAAGCGCATGTAGACTGAGGTGTATAATAAAATTATTGAATGCAAATATATGAAGTAAACACTTGCCAAGTTTATGTACATATCTATGGTATGTATGTATTATTTGCATGTGTCTGTGCTTGTGCATATGGCAGTTAATGCCGATTATTCGCAGCCTTGTCATGCCTGAAATTCACTGACTAATTGCAAATGTTTTGCCCACACACGTGTCGGCGCTGCCAGCTTCATCCGCCACTAACTGCCGCTACATCTTTATATGCTTGTATGCATGAATATGTGTGTGCGTGTGCTTATTAACTGATCTTCAATTAATGCGTTTGCCGCTAATTTTCTGTCTCACAACTGTCGTTTGTGCCACCAAATCGTTTGCATGTATTCGCACGCGCGCTCATTTAGCCAGCAACCAGCGAAAACGACAAACGCGAAAATTTCTTAATCAAATATCATAATTGTTTACATATACGTATTWCGAATGATAGTGTTATTTTGTTGTTCTTTTCGTTGTCGCCACTTCCTTCCGACATAATGAAAATGCATCTGATTGTSAAATGGAATTGTTTCTCTTGTTGCAGGGAGCTGCAAGCCACCACTTCCACTGGTGGTGAGTGGATCAAGGATTATACGCGCGGTTCGAGCGGCGCTGTCGATCACTTGCCGACGACGGATGTGTTGCGCCGAAGTATACGACGTTCCTGGACGATATCAAGTGAGTTGAAAAAAATAATTGAAATTAAAACTAATAATACCAAAATCATTTGTGTTAACGCTTTAAGCACTATATTATATTTTATACTGTGTTTTGTGTTTTTTCTGGACTTGAATGAAGTAGAACGATACAAATAATATGTATATTTATAAAAAAAAAAAAAGTTTGAAAAGTGCAGTGATTTTTAGTTGCATATTTTTTTTTTATTTCTTTTTTTCTTTTTTTGCATTTGAATGAACGAAAAGTATGCCTAATATAAAATTGTTGTAGTACAATATAACTTCATCAAGTGATTTTTAATAGCACCCTGCCATAGATTTAAGTGTTCCTTTGTGTGCCAATTTAACAGAAATAAAAGCTGACTTCGATTTCAAAAGCATCACTTTTCAATAAATCGAACAAACTACAACGGCTGATTCATTTCTACGTTCCCTACTTTTTTAAAGTAAAAACACAGAAACTTCAAAAATGAAGGGGCAATGCTTATTAACATTCGAAGGAACATTATTTTGCATTAGTTTTCGAAAATTATATCTTTAATATGTTTGCCTCGGCAACGTACCAGAACGTTCATACGTTGACTTAAATTTTCGATGACTCGTCCGCGCATTTCGACTGGTAACTGGCAAATGACACATATGATGTCTGTCTCTTCTTAAATTTTCGATGACTCGTCCGCGCATTTCGACTGGTAACTGGCAAATGACACATATGATGTTTTGATCCAAGGCCGAAATCGAAGCGGGATTGTCCGCRYAGACTTTAGATTTTAAATATATCCACAGAAAAATAGTCTGAGGGTTCAATGTCGCACGATTTAGGTGGTCAATCGACCGGCTCAAATTGTAAAATTATCTGCTYATCRAAGGTTTCTCTCAACAAASACATTGATTGMTACGATGTGTGGGAAATGGTGCCGTCTTGGTTGCCRTCARTTTTAGGCATCAAATAGTCCGGTATCATYTTTGAAGAAATWTGACCGATGATTCCACCRGCCMACAAATAACACCAAACCGTTGTTTTCTCTGAATGCAATAGCAGCTCTTGAATCTCTTCAGGTTGCTTCTCGTCCCAAATGCGACAATTTTGCCTGTTTACATACCCATTGAGTAAGAAATGACCTCATCGATAAACAAAATTTTGCTCCGAAACTTCGGTTTCTCGGAACTTTTCAACTTTCAATTTAAGATCTCGACGTAAAATGCCCCAAGTCGTTCCATACGTCAGTCCGAGTTGCTGCGAACGGCGAAGAATAGATTCTCCACGGTTTCCGTATACTTCTCATTATTATTAAAATCAACATAGTTCACTCAACTAAAACTCAAGGAAAGGCTAAATTTAATCAATTCGTTTTTTTATTTTATAAAGTGATTATATAAGGGTTTTACCRCGGTATAGATCAACTTCATTCATATTTAGCGGTAAAACATATTATGTTTATTAAAATTTTGAAATCTTCTTTATTGGCGTAAACATCGCTGGCGCTGCTATAGTCGAGTTCTACCTATACTCGTTGTACCTTTTCGCTGTTTGGCGCTAATTGAGGAATCCAAATGACTGGACTTGACGGGTAGGGTGTATCTACCATTTGTAGGCTTTGAGGCAACTTTTAGGGTGTCAATATACAATATTTACAGACTTACAGCTGGGTATCTCGAATTCGGAGGGGAACTTACTATAATGACTGGACTATGTAGCCTGGTTCTCCATCGAAGAAGAGGTCTCTTATTGTKGGTGCAAGTGTTGGTTCCAAGATCGATGGAATTATCTACGACTTCGAAGTTTTGACTGCCAACAGTGAGGTGAGAATTAATTGCCAGTGCGACGACTGTTCGTTTGAGATATTTGGTTTTGCCTTTGTTCACTATCTGACCCATCCTCTTCGCTTCCTTATCCAGTCTGGAAAAAACAGAACTAACAACGTAGATGTTGAGGCTTTAATCTTTCACACAGTACGCTGGATTTGGACCTTATATGCGAGATTGAGGAAGTTTATTCCATGTTAGTTTGCGCAGATTGTGGGGTCTCCTTTTAGTGGATTGGGCAGATCTCACTTAAATTCCAATAGTCCTCCATTTTTTCGTCCAACCATATTCTACGAGTATAAAGAAGCTGATCCATGGTCGGCAATCCATCGRTTCCCGCCACTTTGTTGTTCTTCCGACGGGTAATTGCTATTTGAACTTMMTCATGATCGGGCAATGGAACATCTGATTCATCGTCATCGATTGGGGAAATGGGTTCACCATCTCCTTTCACTGCTATTGGAAAAGTGTTCCCTCCTTTATTTTAGTATGCCCGGGGCATATGCTAGTGACTGCATCTTTTCATAGAATTTTCTAGTATTCGATTATCAGGCGGATTCAGATAAGTTACTTTCAATAAATATATCTCCCTTGTAGTGTCAAATTCAGCTGTAACAATATGATAAATTTCTCTAACAACAAACTTCTTCTTCTTTACTGGCGTGGAAACCGCTTATGCGATTATAACCGAGTTAAAAGCAGCAGTTAGTTTCCTAATCTTTCATTGGGGGCGCTTTTCACGTGGCGAGTACAAACCCAGGGCACAACCCTGTGAAGGGGATGTTTCGCCTTCTCACTTCAGCTCGTCTTCAATCGGATGTTTGACGACCGGAAGTCGTAAGCTGCTTGAGCCATATGTAAAAGAATCGTTTCTGGCCACTCCCAAGTAAATAGCAATCAGATGACTCCATCTTCCAAACAGGAGGCGCTAAATCAGAGTCGCATAAGGACTTTTCGAGTAGATTTTCTTCAAATCTTCTCGGGGACGAGAATAACTGGGGTCACAACTAAAATCTCGTGATTAAGTAACGGTCAGAACATSGTGTTAATGTCGTGCTTAGTGAWGGCACTTTATAAGTTTTCGATTAAACTTGTGACAAATCGACCCATTTCGCCCATTCACAACATCCACCGTCGCATGGTGACCAGAAACATCAATACCAAGTCTCGTCGAGATCCCAATTTTACTCCAGTTATGGTTTGCACAAACGGACTTCCGGAGAGACCGACACGCAGTCAGCCCGATTTTAATTCGTCTCGTCTCTATTATACTCAGTGAAAACTAGTTGCGAGATTACTTCTCYCATTCATGTGTTTTAAACTCGCAACTTTAGATGAGGTAGTCATGTCCACAGTCCATTAAATTTTCAAAAGTTTTTATGTTCTATTCATTTCCACTTCAGATAATATCCTTAGATATTATGTATTTGCTCTTTCATGTCCGCTTATCACGCATTTGTGTGCCATTACCCAGATAAATTCTAAAATCATGTTCGTTTTTCCAGATCCCGAAGACGATTCGAATAATCAAAACCCACAAAACCCCGTCGGCGACAATCTTTATCCCCAACAAAAGAACCTTATCGAAGGACAATCCGCTGGCAGTTACCCTTCGCTCATACGCCAACCCTCACAACAAAGGCCACACCCCGCCCCCTATCAGAGTGGGAGTGCAATCGGTATCAGTAGCGTGGGCAGCACACATCCACATCCTACGAGCGATTATTTGGTGAATTCACAACGTCGCGTCCTACGCCAATCGACACTACCCAGCTCACTGGCCAACAACGATCCCAATCTGAGTGGTAGCGGCGCCAATTTGGCCAATTATAATTACGTGAATCTCACGGCGCCCACATCGCCACATCAAATGCAAAAGAGTCCRATTTATCCGAGCGCCTACAACAGTGATGACGTCATACACATGAGCGCAGCTGAATGTGATAATTATCAACAACAAATGCAACAACAACAACAACAACCTATGAACATACAGCCGCAACCACAGCAACAACAGCCGCCGAGTGTTATTAATCCCCAAACGCACCATCGCCTACAGGTACGCATATGCTGACCATGAAAGCCAGCAGAGCATGCAACGTTTGCGGCATRCCACAAACATTTGCATTTTCASACATCACCTACACGCCCATGTGTCTGTATCAAACTAAAATAAACCTTTTTTTTCCATCCACCCACAGGTGCGTCGACAATCAACCCTCCCGGCTAATCCCTGCCWACCGCCCATGTATCTGTCGACATCGCCAAATCGCCCGTACAGTCGCTCACCGGAGCGTTCACCGGGCGAGCAACGTTATCCGCCATTCATGCGTCAAACCTCCTTCCCGTGCAACATGTCTGAGCCGCCTACGCAACAGCAGCAGCAAACACATCTTAATTTAGGCACTACGCCGCCGAACCAACCTTACCCCCGGAAATTGTTGCCCACATCACCCAACTATCAAGGATCGGTCATCTATCAACAACAACCCACACAGCAGCAGCAGCAGCAGCAGCAGCAGACACCACAGCAGTCATGCCAATCAAATTACGACCCGCAAGCGAGCCAAACACAACCCTCGGATGAGTGCGACTACACACAAGTTGTGCCGAAACCACGTATGATGCGCCAAGCTACATTACCTAATCCCGAACAGCATGTTAAGCTGCTACCCACCTCGCCACCGAAGCGTCAAACTTCGCCACAATATCGTCGATCGCCGGAGTTTATGCGCCAACAGACCCTACCGAATCCAGAAGCTTTCAGCGGCAATTCGCTYTCGGTGCCAGCAGGCCAGTCACAAGCTAAATTCATGCCGCTCTCACCGCGTCACAAGCAAAACTTTCTCTTTCCGAATGTGCCGAACCCACGACAATTCTTATCACAACAACATGTACCCGCCGTCGGTGCTGGCAGCGGTGAAGTGAGCACCACCACCACCACCGCTGGTGAGCAGTACTCGAGCAGTCAAAGCGTGAATATACAGTCACGTGATCACGCCAAAATGATCAAGGTGCGCAGTCACAGTAACGAGGAGTACTCGATAACCAAGCCGCACCACGCGGAGAATCGGCGTTTACTGCCAGAGATACCCACAAATCGCGCAGCCACGTAAGTAACTACTTTAAATATGTMAGTGTCGAGCGTATAACAAACTCTGTTTTCCTTTACATTCCACAGTCGCTCGCCTAGTCGCCTGGTGCGTCAAGATTGTGTCAAAGATGAACGCAGCAATGCGCCCGATTCAAATGCACGCACATTTGGCGAAGCCAAGCACCAGTACAACCAATACCAGAATATCGCTGAAGATGCAGACAATCGCCCGGAGTATATGGACTACTTTGGCGACAGTACCAGCAGCTTCTTGGAGGCCGATGAGGTCCAATACGAGAAGAACTACAATGCGGGCTTCAGCAGTGAACCGCGTATAATCTACAATGATGGTTCTGACGATGGCAGCTATACACAATACCAACACCCCATAGTACACAGCGCCGAGAATGTGCGCACACACGATCAAAGCTATAGCTACTATGGACCGGATGGCGGTTTGAGTGGTCAACCGCTGACAACAGGTCTGAGTGCCAGCGGCGGTGCATTGCCACGCACTCCGCAAATGCACAACCGACTRCGGCGGCGGCAATCGCGTGAATTGCAAATGCAACAGGARGAGCTTGCACATCTGAATCGACAATCAGCTCCTGGTAYAGGTACGACAGAGACCGCAGTAATGAGTGCTGCAAATGGCGATGGTAAAGCTGCGAATGGCGAGACACAACACGACACACATGAAAGACGCAAACCTGAACAAATGCGCTCGGTATCGGAAGACGGTGCCAAACCGAGTCCACAAAAACCAGTCACAAGACGATCGTTGTCACATCCCGAAAAGGAGACACAAGTGAGTAGTGTAATTATACACATTCGAAAAATAAATTAATTAACCACTCCCGCATTCTCTGTACTTTCAGGCAACCAAAAAGGTTGAACCCACGAAAATACCAAGCCCAAGACCCTTGGCTGATATTTTAGATAAGTCACGAACSAATACGAAAATCCCAACACCACGACGTCGCAATAGTCGTGGCACAAATGGTGCTGATGCAGAAGAAAGTGAGTAAAATARCGGGGATTGAGTTAATTGTATGCTGCGCTGTAGTCCTTGATAAGAACTTGGTATCCTAAGCGAAGACTAACATAATCTGACCAGATATAAATGTCATATCCTTGTGGAATTCAGTTAATCACTTTATAAATATTGAGAGAGTAGGGTTTCCACATTAGAATAGATTAAAGGTTATATTAATATGCTTATCCTATCGATGGATGCCATAATGACATCACCTTGGGCTTAGTGAATCCAAAAACTACTATGTAAGTACTATATTAATCAAGAGAACCTTATGAATTGACAAATTATTTTAGGCAGTTAGTATCAATTCTCGGAACCCGGAGAGGTCCATGTGTCCTCTTTAGCCATCACATGTTGTAGAGCAAAATGGAAATCCGGGCACGGGAGCAACTGTCCCTGAAGCTTTGGAGTACAGAGTCTTTACAATATATGTAGGTCGTGATTAATTCTCGAGTATCAAGTGCGATCCATTTCGAGGTTCCCTACTTGTTTAAAGGGAAAGCACRGAAACTACAAATTTWATGGGAAATGTTTATTWTTATTCGAAAAAACATTCTTTGGCTTTTATTTTTTGAAGATTATTTCTCTCAAATGTTAGGCACGGCTACATCTTAGATAGTCCATTCGTTGAGTTCAATTTCCGATGACTCGCTCGAGCATTTCGACTGGTCACTGGCGAATGACAAGCGTGATGCTTTGCTCCAAGGCCTGAATCGAAGCTGGATTGTTCGCATACACTTTTGAAGTTAAACATCCTCACAGGTAAAGTCTAACGGTGTTATATCACACGATCTTGATGAYCATTCGAACGGCCCAAAACATGAAATTATATGCTCCTCGAAATGTTCTCTCAATAAATCCATTGATCGATGTGATGTGTGAGAAGTGGTGCCGTCTTGTTGAAACCMAATGTCGCCAAGATCATGAGCTTCAAGAAATTGGCCTCATCGCTGAACAAAATTTGCTAGAAAACATCGGATCTTCTTAGAACTTTTCAAGAGCCCATAGAGTGCTGCGATGTCGCTGGCGAAGGTCAAGCGGCTTCAGTTCTTGCACAAGCTGTGTTTTTTACGCTTTCAATCTAAGACCTCGACGTAAAATGCGTCAAATCGTTYCATAGGTCAGTCCGAATGGCGCCGAATCGACTCTCCACGGTCTTCATGTACACTCTCAGCTACTTGGCATGATCGCGTGATTTGTCAAAAAAATCTTTGAACAATCAATTGAATCATCCGCTAGCTTGAAATTAAGCTATAGGCTTGTATTTTAATATTTAGACTAAACAATAAAGATAGAAATATAAGCAAAATTTGAAGTGAAATGAGAATGATATAAAGGATGAGTAGGGTTTTAAAATTTTTTTTGTCTTAACTGAATGCGGTCTAAATTCCAAGTCGCTCCCAGCAAAAGGAGATTTAAAWATTTAAAGAGATATTTCTCATAACTCACAATTCTCAAAGTCGGTGCCCCACAAGACTGCAACTATTTCTATAAAGGATTTAGCATTGGAGAGTTTTACAATTTCATTTTGCATTAAAAAATTAGCCGACGTGTCTTTTAACATGATAAAATTAAATTTCGTAAGCACTCTCTACCGTTTCCGGAACAAAGCGATTATTTAACGGTATACTTTTTTTTTTGTATGATTTTGAATGATCCAGCAGCTCAGTGCAAGGTTTTAAGGGGCAACCCAATTAAACTTTTTTGTGAGACGTTCCGGATAAATTGCTGCCATTGCCGATTTATTAAAATTTCTCCAAGAAAATTTATCAAATGGTTTTTAAATGTATGGGTTTATCAAAAATTATCATAACCTTGTTTTACACGATTTCACTCTATTCCTCTCTTAAAGCAATTTGCTCAGAACGAATGAAGATTTCTATCAAAAAATTTACTTAAGTCCCTAAATATGGWCGACTTATTTTAATTATCGCTCACCTCTCTCCGCAGGCACCAGCAAACCCTATTCGAACGAAAGACGAAACTCCGATTTATCCCTCAAGTCAGCAATGGCGAATAAAAAACACGACGAGCAGGAACAAAAAACACAATTTACGCATATAAAAGAAAATGGCAACAACAAATCACCGGAACAACAACAGGAAATAAATGAGAATAGCGAAGCAGCAAAGAACAATAACAACAGYGATCAGGCAAAAACTGCTGAAGAAACACAAGAAAAGGAATCAACAAATGACACAACAGAGAGCAATAAAGGCGACGCAGTGGTAGGCAAAGCGACCGTACCCAAGGTGGGTGAATGAGATTATGGTACATGGGTTGAGCATTTAAGCGCTTTTAAGTTGTTGCCATGCAATTTGTTATCCTTAATATTTGTTYCTTTTGACTATTGGTTTTTGTCACTCAGCCGCAGACGCGCGTGTTATAATTGACAGGATATATGAAARGATTCACAACTTCTGTGATATAATTAAGTGAGCGAGCGCACGAGTCGCAGGCTAAAGTATTGTAAAGCAATGACTTGGTGTATATTTTAATTTTTTT